CAGGATTCCAAGATATTGGACTATGTTTGATGGGATATAGCAGAAAGCTTTGTGACTTTTAATGAACATCAGTCAGGATTCTAAGATATTTGACTATGTCTGACGTGGATATAGCAGAAAACGATGGGACATTTAATGAATATCAGGCAGGATTCTAAGATATTGGACTATGTTTGCTGTGGATATAGCAGAAAGCTTTGTGACTTTTAATGAATATCAGGCAGGATTCTAAGATATTGGACTATGTTTGCTATGGATATAGCAGAAAGCTTTGTGACTTTTAATGAACATCAGTCAGGATTCTAAGATATTTGACTATGTCTGACGTGGATATAGCAGAAAGCTTTGGGACTTTTAATGAACATCAGGCAGGATTCCAAGATATTGTACTGTGTTTGACGTGGATGTGTCTTTAAGATGTGACATGAAAACAATTAAATTGGCTGCCCATCAAGGTCTCTTTGTAAGTTAAGTTATATTTTTTTAAAATAACCTTGAAATAAAATGTCCAACAGGATGCCCAGGGGCAAGTGCTCACCTAAGTCCCCTTGGTCCTTCTGTTCTTCATCACAAGATTAAAAAATATATTCAAGGCCTAGGATGATGCTTCCAGGGATGAAATTTTTTGGAGCAGATCCATTCCCAACTAGTCCTATGGTGACCAAATGTACATGGATGACGCATCTGGGGATGCACACTACCACACTTGCTTCGGATGCTGGATTTAAATTACTTTTTTTGGATGAGTGAATGGATTAAAATTAAAAATTTTGGAACAGGTTCTAAGAAATATAAGCGATTTACTGTCAAAACTTGCACGATTGATGCGTGTAAGGATGCATGCTACCAGACTTGCTTCAGGTGCCTGATTGACCAAGTGAAGGTTTTTGGCTCAGTTCCATTTCAAAGTAACATAACCCATATGATGACTAAGATGAGGCATCTAGGGATACATGTTCTAAATGCTGGGTCTGAATTTTATTTACCTGAGTTTTGATGAGTGATCAAGTTAACGTTGTTTTGGAGAAAGTTCATTCCCTAGTAACTAGAAGACATAAGATAACCAAACTTCACGGAAGATGCATCTAGGGATGGACTCTACAAACGTACCTCGGATGCTGGATCTGACCAATATGTTTTTGATTGGTGACTAGGTTAAAATTTTGGAGCAGCTAGATCCATTCCAAAATAACTATAAGCCTTATGTTGACCAAACTTGCACGGATAATGCATCTAGGAATGAACACTATACCGCATGCTTCAAATGCTGGATCTGACCTCCATTTTCAAAATGATTAATTGGTTAATAGAAAGGTTTTCGAGCAGGTCCATTTTAAAGTACAAAACTTGCATGGATGATGTATGTAGGGATAACAATCGTCAAGGGGAACTTCAATTCATTATGTTTATGACTTATCAGAAATAAATCGAAGGGTGGGGGCAATTTATGTTTTCGTAACATAGATACAAGACATTGACTAAGTATTTCCTACTGTTGCACGGTGCAACAAGGGTAGCTTGTCCTAGATTAAACTAGACTATACCTTTTTCTGCGTTTGTTACAATGCAATTTAATACGTATTAGAGATCACGATCATTTGTTTAAGTCCGATGTAAAAGTTCTACATCGGAAGAAATGCCTTCATGAAATGTGAAAAACGGTCTGATTCCCCAATCTATGAGGCGCCGTTTTGGTATTTACTGCCAAAAAGTGATATCACCTATTCGAATAAGTGATATCACCTATTCGAATAGGTGATATCACCTATTCGAATAGGTGATATCACTCATTCAAATTGAATAGGTGATATCACCTATTCGAATAGGTGATATCACTTATTCGAATAGGTGATATCACTTATTCGAATAGGTGATATCACCAATTGAATAGGTGATATCACCTATTCGAATAGGTGATATCACTTTTTGGCAGTAAATACCAAAACGGCGCCTCATACCAATCCGACTAAGTATCATGTTCATAGATCTGTCGCCGAGCGCTGGTGTCAGTACAGCAGATCAATGACAATATGGAACGTTAAGTGTTTCTATCTATTGTACAGAGACACGAAATCTAATTCAAAGTTAATGTCGTAGGAGAATTAATTTATGCATTATCATGACCTTGATAAAGAACTCTTCTGTGAAGAAGCTCTCTAATTTTTCTTTCTCCAAGGTCAAAATTTAATATTTGTTAATCGCTTATTTTAAATTTCCTATAAAAGCACACATTTAAAGTTAATTATGATAAAATAACACGAGTAAATAACGTAGTTAAAATCATTGCCTGTGTCATTAAGATTTACAAATACATAAATGTATATATCCTCAACAAACAATCTCATTATACATTTCAAAAGTTTATTTCACCTGACGTCATCTTGGTTGAAAAGCAATGTCTTCACGGCAATCAGAAGAAGGTTATTCCCTATACAGTATTAGAATGGCGAGTCGGTTCCCTATTCAAATTGCCGTAAGTGTCCTAATAATTTAAAAAACAAAAACAAAAACAAAAACTTGAATGACTCATTATGATACATGTTAAAGAAGCGAATCAAAGACATCACTTAAAAAAGAAGAGAGAGGACCCCAAATCAATGTAACTAGCCTGACCAAAATAATGACAATGGATAAAATACCATTAAAAGGTAAACCTTTTGCCATGGGGTGACTAACATCCTGAATCCCATATTTAGACCTTCATCTTTTTACAGGGGGAGGGGTCTGGGAAGGGACGTTTGCCTATCAAAAGGAATTGAGTTTACAATACCGCTAACCTTTTTAGCAAGCCCATCCCCTGTAAAAAGATGAAGGTCAAAATATGGAATTCAGAATGTTAGCCAGCCCCTGGAACTTTATACACTTATAACAGTATTATATGCGTTTTTCCCAATTTTAACCGGGCTAGCTAAGTACGTTATCGGTCTTGTAAACTTAATTTCTTTTGAAAGTCAAATGTTTTCTCTCAGGTCTCTCCCCTGTAAAAAGATGAAGGTCAAAATATGGGATTCGGGATGTTAGCCAGCCCCTGGAACTAAATACTCTTATAACAGTATTATACGGGTTTTCCGCAATTTTGACCGGGCTAGCTAAATATGTTACCGTTTTGTAAACTCAATTTCTTTTGAGAGTCAAACGGTCCCTCCCAGACCCCTCCCCTGTAAAAAGATGGAGGCCTCATTATGGGATTCAGAATGTTAGCCAGCCCCTGGAACATTATACTCTAAAAACAGTATTATATGCGTTTTTCCAAATTTTGACCGGGCTAGCTAAATATGTTATCGGTCTTGTAAACTTAATTTCTTTTGAAAGTCAAACATTTTCTCTCAGGCGTCTCCCCTGTAAAAAGATGAAGGTCAAAATATGGGATTCGGGAAGTTAGCCAGCCCCTGGAACTAAATACTCTTATAACAGTATTATACGGGTTTTCCGCAATTTTGACCGGGCTAGCTAAATATGTTACCGTTTTGTAAACTCAATTTCTTTTGAGAGTCAAACGGTCCCTCCCAGACCCCTCCCCTGTAAAAAGATGGAGGCCTCATTATGGGATTCAGAATGTTAGCCAGCCCCTGGAATTTTATACTCTAAAAACAGTATTATATGCGTTTTTCCAAATTTTGACCGGGCTAGCTAAATATGTTATCGGTCTTGTAAACTTAATTTCTTTTGAAAGTCAAACGTTTTCTCTCAGGCCTCTCCCCTGTAAAAAGATGAAGGTCAAAATATGGGATTCGGGAAGTTAGCCAGCCCCTGGAACTAAATACTCTTATAACAGTATTATACGGGTTTTTCGCAATTTTGACCAATGCTAGCTAAATATGTTACCGGTTTTCTAAACTCAATTTCTTTTGAGAGTCAAACGGTCCCTCCCAGACCCCTCCCCTGTAAAAAGATGGAGGCCTCATTATGGGATTCAGGATGATAGCCAGCCCCTCGAACTATATACTCTAAAAACAGTATTATATGCGTTTTCCCCAATTTTCACCGGGCTAGCTATCCAGATTAGCAGTCTTGTAAATTCAGTTCCTTTGTACAACACCCACTAACTGTTAAAGGACCTTTAGAGAGAGACAGCATGCAATAACAATGATTCTTGCAAACAAGGGATCTTTTATGACGCAGTTTTATTTAGAGGGCAACCTTATGAAAAATCAACAATATTCAGCATATAATGCAGATGTCCTTGCTGTAAAAGAAAAACAATTTTAAAGAACACCTCAACGTGCACATTTTGGGTTAATTAAACATAAACTATGGAGAGTTTGTAGGAAGTAGGTCGTGGCCGCACATGTGACTGAATCTAATCAAATCAAGACAAAGGCTATTTACCTAAACATTGAAACCCATTATCTCTCTGTACCGACCTCCCTTATTTAGATAGTACAGACATGTGCAGGTCAGCACAACCTTTCCGTTATCAAAAATGAGGCTATATTGTTCACCATGAATTGCAAATTGCACACGTCACTGATTTCTGAAGTCTGGAGCTTTACACACGGACCTTGGATTATCATGAAAATTGACAACCATTCACAGGACGCGTGAACAGCTCATAAAATCAGTGACGTGTGCTACAGGATAAAGATATTATCGCACTGAAAGACATGACCTTGGCGAATTAAATATACAGATTTGCTTCAGATATATAGCTATCTTTGAGTCTCTTTCTATGTCCTTTTATATGGCTATAAAAGTATTCCCTATGTTGCTTCTCAATTAACTTTAATATGTAAAACCAGTAGATTAAACTTCAAATATTAGAGTCTGCTTATAAAAATATTACAGTTACAGTGCTAAAAAAAGATAAGTCATTAACCATTACTTTGTTACCTTAACAGTTGGAATATTTAAAACGAAGCAAACAGCTAAAAAAAATTTTAAATAAAATTAGACTCGATGGCATTTCGGCTAGGCAAAATTTTGCATTACAACATGTACGATGAAATCAAATATTTCCAAAGAAAGAGTTGAGCATCTCCAGCGTAACTACAGTGTCAAGTGTGTGTGTTGAATGAAAGTTATAGATTATACCAATTCTTCACAGATTCCTAAAGAAATGTTATAGTAATTACCTTTGTTAAGGTAAGACTATTCTTATCAATATGATGTTGACTAGAATATGTTGGGGTAATAGATTAAATGTAACAAAAATAATAGTCACTTTTTATTAGAGTTCGAAAGTTCATATTAAAATATTATTTTAGGATTGACTAGTATATAAAATATTTTGATTAAAGCTTGAAGATAAGTACTAATAATCGCACACTTTATGGAAGCCGAAGGTATTTCAGCCCAGCAAAGCTTGCACTGTGTTCGGAAAGAGGTGTGTCAAGTGTATGTTGTAAAAAGTTTATTCCGACTCTATAGAGTATTCTTAACCCCTCCTCCCAAAAGATAAGAGCCTTTTATTAACGTTCCTCATCTAAATAAGTCTATTCTATATAAAGTCATGTTGAATGAAAGCTTTTAGGATGTTCATCGATGAAAATTGAAACTTGATATACAAAACACATTTTTTTGATGTTAGGTAACTTAATAGCTGCTTGAAATGTGTAAAGTGATCTTAGAAAGTGTGATTTTTAATATCTAATGTACCTTTATGTTTTATAATCAGACTACATTGTATGAACAGAATTTGCAAAAGTTTTTATGGTTTTATGAAAGGACAATAAACATTGAAATTGAAAGCTTTATATTTATTGTAAACCCGTGCATTCTTTTCGACAAGGTCTAGAGATAAACACACGTCACTGTCTAAGAATGTGAACACGCGGTGTATGAATGATCAAGACATTGGGAAGTTTCTAAATTTATCAAAGATTAACTTGATCATCCAAGGTCATCCAAGGTCCGTGTGTAAAGCTCAAGATTTCAGATATCAATAACGTGTGCATACTTGAAACTGATTAGCCAATTCTCATGAGCTGTGCACACTAACCTTGAATGATCAAGATCATTGATAAGCTTTCACACAAAACGTGCACAGTTTATTACAATTAATAAGTGATTTAAAGATATGGATTTGCTGTACACAGTCATCTTTGAGTCTTCCTGTTTCCTTTTACATGACCATAAAAATTAATTTCTAACGTTTGCTAGATTTCTAACTATAACATTAAAACAATAAGCTTCAGATTTAAGACTATGCTTACCAAAATATAACAGATATAAAAATTCTTAATTTGATTTTAAAAAATTACTTGCTGTACTAAACATTCTTCTGTTACCGTAACAGTTTGAATATCTAACACGTAGAAAACAGCTACAAAAGGCTTGTTATGAAATAGGAGCTGAAGGCATTCCGGTCTGACAAAACTTTGTATTATAATGAAATCGAAATCATGTACATCCAAAGAAAGAGGTGTGCATCGCCAACGAGAAACCATTGTGTCAAGTGTGTGTTGTACCAAATTTAAGATTATTCCGACTCTCTATTCAGCGTCCTTACAGAAAAAGAAGATAATAGTCTTTTATTAACGTTCCTAATCCAATTAAATCTATTCTTTGGAAAATAATGCTGAATGAAAACTTTTTGGATTATATATGAATTAATAGCAGTGTTAACCACGACTTGAAAGTCTATTGATAAAAAAACGTAACTATAGCACATTTTTTATGTTACTTTAATAGTTGCAAACAGCCAGACAATGAAAGAATGAAGTTAATGAAAACGTCTGCCAAGAAATGTTTTTAAAGTTTAAATTACTCTGTTACGTATTATAGTTAGACTATAATCATTTTGTTTTTCAATAATTTTCTTTTATGGTTATACGAAAGGATGATAAACTTAATAGTTGACTGAAAGATAGCTTTATATTTTTTCTACATTCCTTTCAGCAAGGCCAAGAAACAAAATCATGTAGCACACGTCACTGTGTTATCAAGGTGAACACGCGGTGTATGAATGATAGAAGATTACCTTGATCGTCTAAGGTCCGTGTGTAAAGCTCATGATTTCAGAAATCAGTAACGTGTGCATAATTGAAACTGACTTGCCAAATGTCATGAACTGTACACACGGGCCTTGGATGATCAAAATAATTGACCCGTAAAATCAGTGACGTGTGCCACAAGATTATTTAATAATCATAATTGAAATTATTTATTTCACTGAAAGAACAAAAGTTTGTTATACAGTGGTTAAGTTCATGAAAAATAAATAACATCTTATGCACTTATACATTCTTAGATAATGAGAATCTATTGACAGTTTAGTAGAGTGCAAAAAATACTGATTTGAATTTGATAATCATATTTCTTAAAAATACCAGGTTAAAAGTAAACATATAGTATTATCATAATTTTTCAGATAACATCCCTACACCGATGATCACCTTTTTTTCCACAGTTTTAAGGAAGTGCACAGCGGATGTAAAATTATTTCTATATTTTCAATACAACAATTTTGTCTGCTTATACAGACTATTATTGAGTCGAACGCTAACTGACGTTTTTCATATTAATTGTACTAGGTCGTTACTTACAAACTGAATTGTCTACGGATTTTTCCTTTACCCAGTCATCACAAGGAGTACATGTACACGGAGGGTGTGACCGGTCGACAGGGGATGGCAAAATTAATCCATTTGTATATATACATGTGTGTTTGTGACAAAATTGAAATATTTCAAAATGCCAAAAGAAGAGGGTCTTAGATATTTTAGCTTTTTAAGAAAATTATATGAAGAAAATTATAGATTACCATGTTTGACCTTTGGTTGTGACCTTCATATTGTGCATAAAGTCTAAAACTGCTGATACATGTGTCCAAATATCAGCAGGTCTCCACCAGCTGTGAAAGATACATGATATATGTTTATTAATTAGAGAGTTAAATATCACAGAAATGGAATAAACACATTCAAGATGGAGGCACCAAAAACATCCAATATATCGTATATCTTTAACTTAATGGATGTTAAATAGATAAATATGGCTTTTAAATTTTAGTTCAGAACATCATTTACTACCGTATAAGCAGAAAATTTAGCGAGGATTCAATTTTGGCATTTTAGCGAGGTGTTGAGATCGCTAAAATTAAATTTCGCTAACAATTTATTCCACATTAGAGATTACCGTTATCTTTCTATGCACCATAAAATCACTAAAATTACTTTTCGCAAAAATTAAATACTGATTTTTAAGTACAAATAGATAAATTTGCGTCTCGCTAAAAATTCCAGTTTTACAGAGATTTTATTTTATTAATTGGAGTGTTTAAGAAGATATAGTTAAAAACTGATTTCGCAGGTGTTGTGCCTTAAGCTCACCTGGACGAACCCAAAAGATAACTATGAAACTATTGATTGTTGCAGCTAGCAGGTCAAAAATTTTCTCGACCCAAATATAAATATCCCGTATTTAAATATTTCATGTTAAACAGCAACGTACTATTTTGTTTTAAAGAAAGGAAAACAAAATAAAACTACATTAGCTCATTACTAAATCTGTAATCCTGAACAATTATAATCTAGTTAGTAAAAGACATTTAATTAAAGAATTGTTTGAAACGCTCAAATGCTTATCTCACTAACTGAACTTTGAACAGAGCACTTCTATTTTAAAGATCACATTGACCTTGGAAAAGCCCTTGTGTCTTCTATTAAAATCACAGCATCGATTTTGGGTCTTCAAAGTAAAGAGAAAACTGACCAACTACTTGCATGTAAGTTTTTTTTTCCTTTTCACTATGACTTTATAATTTATTTGTGTGTATTTTTTTCTTTCTCTCCAATTTAGGGCACATTTTGTTAACTCTTAAGCTTTGCACACGTTACTTTAATATGCAAATGACAAAAATTTATTATCGATAAAACTATGTTTGGTTCGGGACTTAAAAAAACTGTAGGTTTTAATAACACTTTTGTGATTATTGCACTTTATTCTAACAATAATACAAACATATTCTAACAATAATACAATACAAACATAAGAATGTATACTTTTATGAATAAAGAAATTGAGAAAGTAGGATATTTTTCCCTTAATATTGCGAAAAGAATTGAAGTTGCTCATTTAAAGGTAATGAATTTTGAACACTGATCGAAAACTTCAAAATATTTTATTGTAAAAAGATTATATATGATGAAATTTTAATCAAGATTCATATGATTCGAATAAACATTTTCACTGTTATAGATACATGATATGCACACGTCACTAATTTTTGAAGTCGTAAGCTGTACACACGGACCTTATTTGATCAAGGTAATCTTCGATAATTTGGAAACTTGCCAACATCAAGATCGTTCCAACACTGCGTGTTTAGCTGTGTTTTGAAATTCAGAGACATGTCCTACAGACATAATCGCTCTGAATAACCGACCTTGTCGAAATTTTTTTTATAACTTTGCAGTAAATATGGAGCTATTTTTAAGTAAATTTAAAACCAGTACATTAGTCTTCAAAAATTAAATATTTTACGTTAAATTCATACACTTTCGTGTAGATGTTTAATTTGTTCAATTGTTAAAGCAACAAGAAAAAAATTGTTTAGTAAATCTAGTTACATTTTATAAATCGAGTTCCGATTTCTAGTTAAAATTACTTGTAAATGATATATAAACTCTTTAACCCCAACTATTATTCTATTTTTTTTTTCTATTTTAGAAACATGAACAGATAATGAAAAAAAGATAATGTAAATGCTATGTTTCATTAAGGTTTTTTTATTAAGGTATTATACTTTTTTAATAAAGGTATTGTACACACAAAATATAATTTTAAACAACCCTTTTGAAAGACATTTCATGGCAAAGTCTGTCGTCATTGTATTGGTATCTATAAACTGACGATCTTATTATAGGTAAATAATCTAAACAAACCCTAAACCACTATTAAGCAAGCCATGTATAAACTACTTAACCACTTAGAAATGTTATCTACCACAACGGGAAGAAATGTCAGAACGCCAAAAGAATAGGGTCTCAGAAATTTTAGCTTTTTAAGAAAATTATATGAAGAAAATTATAGATTACCATGTTTGACCTTTGGTCGTGACCTTCATATTGTGCATAAAGACTAAAACTACTGACACATGTGTCCAAATATCAGCAGGTCTCCACCAGCTGTGAAAGATTGTTTGTTTGTTTGTATGTCGTTTAACGTCCATCTCGAGAATTTTTCACTCATATGGAGACGCCACCACTTGCCGGTGGTTTTTCCTATCCACGGCACTTACGGCAATTGAGCGGTGAGGGATCTTTTTCGTGCCAGCAACTTCTGCGACACGGGACCTCGATTTATACGGTCTCATCCGAAGGACCGGTCTCCAAGTCCCACAGTGGGATTCGAACCCGCGGCGTAAGGATCAACTCCTTACTCCGCGACTCGAGAGCAGACGCTCTAACCAATGCGCCACGCGGGCGACCAGCTGTGAAAGAAATAAAAGAGATGTGAAAGAAATAAAAGACATATGTTTATTATTAGAAAGTTAAATATCACAGAAATGGAATAAACACATTCAAGATGGAGGCACCAAAAACATCCAATATATCGTATATCTATAACTTAATGGATGTTAAATAGATAAATATGGCTTTTAAATTTTAGTTCAGAGCATCATTTACTACCGTATAAGCAGAAAATTTAGCGAGGATTCAATTTTGGCATTTTAGCGAGGTGTTGAGATCGCTAAAATTAAATTTCGCTAACAATTTATTCCACATTAGAGATTACCGTTATCTTTCTATGCACCATAAAATCACTAAAATTACTTTTCGCAAAAATTAAATACTGATTTTTAAGAACAAATAGATAAATTTGCGTCTCGCTAAAAATTCCAGTTTTACAGAGATTTTATTTTATTAATTGGAGTGTTTAAGAAGATATAGTTAAAAACTGATTTCGCAGGTGTTGTGTCTTAAGCTCACCTGGATGAACCCAAAAGATAACTATGATGCTTTTGATTGTTGCAGCTAGCAGGTCAAAAATTTTCTCGACCCAAATATAAATATCCCGTATTTAAATATTCCATGTTAAACAGCAACGTACTATTTTGTTTTAAAGAAAGGAAAACAAAATAAAACTTCATTAGCTCATTACTAAATCTGTAATCCTGAACAATTATAATCTACTTAGTAAAAGACATTTAATTAAAGAATTGTTTGAAACGCTCAAATGCTTATCCCACTTACTGAACTTTGAACAGAGCACTTCTATTTTAAAGATCACATTGACCTTGGAAAAACCCTTGTGTCTCCTATTAAAATCACAGCATCGATTTTGAGTCTTCAAAGTAAAGAGAAAACTGACCAACTACTTGCATGTAAGTTTTTCTCTTTTCATTATGACTCTGTAATTTAATTGTGTGTATTTGCCTCTTTCTCTTCAATTTAGGGCACATTTTGTTACGTCCTAAGCTTTGCACACGTTACTTTTTTATGCACATGACAAACTTTTATTATCGATAAAACCATGTTCGCTTCGGGATTTAAAAAAAATGTCTGTTTTAATAACACTTTTGTGATTATTGCACATTATTTTAACAAATATAAAAATAAGACTTTATACTTTTATGAATAAAGAAATTAAGGAAGTCGGATATCTTTCCCGTAATATTGCGAAAAAATTTAAAGGTAAAGAATTTTGTTCATTGATTGAAAAATTCAAAATATTTTATTGTAAAAAGATTATATATATATATATATATATATATATATATATATATATATATATATATATATATATATATATATATATATATATATATCCCATGTTTACCCCTTTATCCCGTGGATATGACTCATTGGATAAATTTTTCATAATCCACAGTTGTGACGTCACAATGGTTTTTGCGTTAGCGCGATGAAGTAAAATAAAGTGGAGTCCTATATAAAACAGTGTAAAACATTGGTTGTGAAGTATTAAACATGGGATAAAAAGAATCTCCCATGATTTGTAGTTGGATATGACTTTTATCCAACTCGTTGTGTGTTTTTATCCCCTCGCCAAGGCTCGGGGATAAAAAACACACAACTCGTTGGATAAAAATCATACCCAACTACAAATCATGGGAGATCCTATATATATATAATGAAATTTTAATCAAGATTCATATGATTCGAATAAACATTTTCACTGTTATAGATACATGATATGCACACGTCACTAATTTTTGAAGTCGTAAGCTGTACACACGGACCTTTTTTGATCAAGGTAATCTTCGATAATTTGGAAACTTGCCAACATCAAGATCGTTCCAACACTGCGTGTTTAGCTGTGTTATAAAATTCAGAGACATGTCCTACAGACATAATCGCTCTGAATACCGACCTTGTCGAAAAAATGTATAACTTTGCAGTATATATGGAGCTATTTTTAGGTCAATTTAAAAGCAGCATATAAGTGTTTTAAAATTAAATATTTTACGTTAAATTCATAAATTTTCGTGTAGATGTTTAATTTGTTCAATTGTTAAAGTAACATTAAAAAAATATGTTTAGTAAATCTAGTTACATTTTATAAATCGAGATCCGATTTCTAATTAAAATTACTTGTAAATGATATATAAACTCTTTAACCCCAACTATTATTCTATTTTTTTCTGTTTTAGAAACATGAACAGATAATGAAAAAAAGATAATGTAAATGCTATGTTTCATTAAGGCTTTTTAAATAAAGGTATTGTACACACAAAATATAATTTTAAACAACCCCTTTGAAAGACATTTCATGGCGAGGTCTGTCGTCATTGTCTCGGTATCTATAAACTGACGATCTTATTATAGGTAGATAATTTAAACAAACCCTAAACCACTATTACGCAAGCCATATGCATGTATAAACTACATAACCACTTAGAAATGTTATCTACCACAACGGGAAGAAATGTCTGTTCGTCACTAAATCGGGCCGTAATTTCCGAAGCTTTGATTTTAATAGATTTAAAATTGGTTAAGCGTGAAGTTTTTACCAATGACCTATAAATATGTGTTTTGACTCCCTCTCATAAATGTAAAGGTAAATAGAAATGAGATTGAAATATTTTACACCGATTATATTGAAGCAGTAAAATTCATCTGGTGATTGTCATGGGTGTATTCAGAGAAGGGGAGGGATACATATATAATTAAAAATGAAAATAACATACAAATATTGCTTTTAACTAGTTCTGTAATCCTGTAAAAAAAATTCTAATTTGATAGACGGCATTGTAAGTTAAAGTATGGATTTAAGTGCTCAAATACTCAGTCACATAACTGAACTTTGCACAGGGTATCTTATGTTCAAAATCTGATCAATCTGAAAAAGCTATAGTCTCTACTTTTGAAATTCTCATCACGACTGACAGACTAACATGGCAAGAGATCAGATCCGTTCTGGCAAAAATCATTGTGCACGCATCACCAATTTCTGAAGTTTCGAGCTTTACACACTGAACATTAGATGATCAGTATGATATTTTACATTGATATATCAGAAACTGTTGCCAACATTGCAGTATTTGTTTTTTCCAAAATGCAAAATAGGCGGAAGTATATATATTGCTAGTAATAAATAAAAGATAATTGTGCAAATAAACAAAGCAAAGGAAAATTAAACACGTATTAAAAAAATTTTAAAAAGATAAAGTCATTGACGCAAACATCGTCTACTAACTTTTGCAATAAAATTTGTATGTAAAAGAAGCAAATTCATATCATACAATTTGTTTCTTATATTAGCTTACGGTTCTCAAGTTTATTTTCATTCGTATGCAATAGTTTTTGGTGATAATTTGTTTAAATTCTACCAAACATCTAAATGGCCCAGTTAAAGGGAAATATATATATATATATATATATATATATATATATATATATATATATATATATATATATATATATATATATATATATATATATATATATATATATATATATATATATAACTTGATTGCAATGAATTAAAACTTTGTTGATGCTGAGACATTTCGTTGTTTTACTTGGATTATGTGAAAATAAAGACATACTATGGAAGTCATGTCGGTATGGTGCTGTGCATAGGTAAAATTGTATCTTTTTTCTGGAAAAAACTAAAGATATAAGTACAACTAGCTTAACATTTTACAAATTATGTAATCCTGAAGAATAATGATCTACTTTGATAGACGTTAACGTAAAGCTCAATCTCTTATTACCATAATTGAACTACGGATAACATACTTTATTATTTTAAAAAGGCATTGACCTTGAAAAAGCCCTCTGTTTCTACTTTTAAAATCTTAGCATCGATTATAAGTCACCTGGATACAGGAAAAATTGACAAAGCACTCACATGTAAGTTTTTTTCATTATGATTCTGGCATTAATTAATGTATATTTGTCTTCGATGTATGCCGTGCTTTGTATTATTCATAAGCTTTGCACACATAACCTTATTATGCATATTAAAAACCTTTAAGAATTATATTTTTAAAAAACTGTCTCAATAACTATCTTATGCTTGTAGCACTACAGTCTAGAGAGTAGAAATATTTCAGAAATGAAGAAATCTAACAAAAAATGATAATTGCAAATCATAGAATATACATTTTGTACATTGACTAGAGTGTTCAAAATACCTTACAATCACTTTTCGATATTTCGAAATCTCCCTCTCTCTCCCCCCTCTCTCTAACACTATGAAATTTTAAATGGCGACAGTCTAGTGTATATAAACAACTAATTGGCTACAAATTCAAAAGGTCATTATTCATGCTTCTCTGTTTTCTAAAACTCGAGATTTACACACGAATCTTAGATAATAAGAGTGATCTTTCACATCGACATTCAAGAAACTGTTGATCTAACATTGCAGTATTTTATTGCTACATGTGTATGAAAACAGGCATTTTGCTTGTAGTAAAGGAAAAGTGTACTATATAATAAAACAATAATGAAATATAAAATAATGATAATGATGAAAAATTAAATGCGATAATTATTTGTCTAAAATTTTGGTTAACATTTTTTGTAAAAGACGAATAATAGATTATTTTTTACTTAACGAATATTTTTTTCTATTTAGATTTCTCCTAAAAACTTTAAAAAAATTCTTTGTATGCATTGCTTTATTTAGACATGTATATTGAATGCAGCTATGAAAGTAATGTTCATTGCGATTCAAGTTTAATTCAAAATAAGAAAAAAATGAATGGATGCAGTAATTATTATTTTATATGTTTTTGATAAAACACGTTGGTGAAGTCATCATTTTATGGTCGATACATGACCTTGTCAGCAAATACAACCTATCATTAAGTCAAATGCTGACAAAAGTTTTTCATACTAATTGTCTGGCCATTATTTACTTACTAAAATTTCTACGGATTTTTCCGTTTTCCCGATCATGACAAGGAGCACACGGCGGGTGTGACCTGTCGGCAGGGGATGCCCACTCCTTCATGGCACCTGATCCCACCTCTAAATATTGAGGTCTGTGTATACTCTGCTACAAATTTGTATCGTTTCATTGGACTTTCGAGATTGAATACTGTTCGTTATCTTCATATTTCATACAAGAAAAATTAATTTTTGAATTTCATGTTTCTCATTTGGTCCCGGACATTTTATTTATTTATTCATTTTTGTCATTGAACAAGTCAAACTAATTCTGCGAAAAAATTGGTATCTGTTGGAAAAAAAATTCTTACTATTGCCATTAAAAAGGTGGTGTTTTGCTTAAATTTGATTTCTTCCATTAAAATCATTCAAACTACATAACATTCAATGATGTATTTGTCCTCAAGTTTCTGGGGGTTAAAATACCATGCCTGGCTACTGTTGCTGTGGAAAAAAACCCGGAAAAATCAATTATAGGTTGTATGTGCTGACAAGGTCATTGTATCCACCAAGAAACTTGCAAAATGATGACTTCAAACGAGACTGTTGATATTCTTGTTTCATCAACTGGTTTGTCAATAGCTTGCCTCGTTTTAGAAATTGTTCGTACGTAGAGCATGCTCTTGCGTATCAAATCAACTGAGAGACATAAACCCCATATGCAGGTAATAAGGTAATATTGCTACGTAAGTAAGGGAAGTTGATGATTGAAAAGTTGAAGTCATCACGTTTATCATAAAGCTTTGTTGTAAGTTTACCATTAACGTCTTTTTTCTAATAAAATATCTAAATATGAAACAGATGTGTCAGACTCTGTGGTATCTTTTATTTCAAGCTCATTGGGATATATCGAGTCGACATATGAATGGAAGTAACTATTGCTAATACGTCGTCGATATATCGAGAATGTCGAGTTGAAGGCAAAAGCAAGTGTTTTCTTCTTCTCATGTAGAAATTTTTAAAT